ATAATCCACTTCTTGTGTCAAGTGCTTTTTACAAACAATTATTTCTTTTGTTTTTACTTTTTCTTTCACAATGATTTCGTATTAAATTTTAAATGTCAATTACCGATGAGGTACGCCGTTATTTTTGCACACTTTCACAGGGTTTTTTATCACAGTTCAACGTGATATTTAAAATAATCATCAATCAGCAAATAAAGATTCTTCTGTTTGATTTAAGAAAAAGAAATTGATTCTTCTTTCTGTTTTTTTTTTTTTTTTTGTTTGGACACGGATTAGGCCTGTCTGATTTAATTTAGATCCATAATCCAGGAACGTAAAAAAGAAACTATTGACGATATTTTTATATTTTTCCGAAACGTAAAATGAGTTCTCCTTTTTTTTTTAAGTGATGCTATGCTATTGCTTATTAAACAGGTGATGTGCTGCTCCGCAGTTGTTCCCATAAACCTCCTTTAGATACTGTACAGTAAAAACTCTGGCTAGGAATGCCAGAAGAGAAAAATGTGTAGCCGATCTGTGTTTATAAGCAAAATTATGAAATTTTTGTATAGGCTAAATATACTGAAAGATTGTCTAAGGATGTCAAACTTCCTGCACTCAAAAACTAAATGTTCGGCAGACTCAGAAACGTTACATTCTTCGCAATTATCAGTGGAAGAGACTTTAATCATTTTGAAGTATACCTTGTCATAAGTGCGATCACTCATAAGTCTATGAAGTATTTTAAATTCCAATGTTGCAAATTTTCCTTTAGGTAAAGGTTTGGGAGTCAAAAAGAGGTAAATTTTGTAAAAAAGCCTTTTTTCTCTAGCTAAAACATAATACTCATCTTTCCATTCTTTTACAATAACTTTTTGGATAAGCAGAAGAGTCTCGCTGGGAGGATACTCTATAACTGAGAAGCAAGATTTGTCCGGATTTGCTGATCCAGCCGTTGCGTATATTTTGAAATTATTTTCAATAAGGTAATTGACTTTTTGCCGACATACAGTTCGAAGACAAAACGTTGACCGATTTTTTTTTTATTTCATGATCGAATCAAATATGTATAATTCCAAGAACCACTTTTGGTGAATAATAATATTCCAAGAGGGTATTGTGTTAACTTTATTGAAAATGTTATTAAATTTTCTTTAACAGCTTGAATAACTGCTGAAGATATCATTAAGTTTGGAGACGACTTTATCGAAAAAAGCAGGTTTAAAAATTTTGACCCTGAGAAGTTCTTTTGCAGTTAAGAGGAATATTCTTCTTGCTACAGGAAGTTCATACGAAATGGAACGTAAGATTGATATTGGTGTCGAGAGAGACAGACCAGTACAGTCTTAGAATCGAGTGTTGGAAGGTTTGTATTTTTTTAATTGTACACAGGGGAATTGCATGACAAAAAAGTTTTACTCAAAATTGCGAAATCAGTTCGACTGGAATTGAGGTGGTAATTCAATAAATAGGCCTTGCGCGTGAAACTTTGTATATTGTATTGTAAGAAAGATATCATTGGGAAATGCGAGGGCATGCTAGGACCTAATTAGATGTACCTTGTTTTAAAGGGTCAAATTTTGATTCAATGGTTGCAATTTCTCTTTGGATGGTTTTTAATTTTTCTTCATAAGGAGTGGTGGAAAGAATTTTGAAAACCTTTTTCAATAATATTTTCATTTGTGTCGACTTGTTGTTATTGGTACAGATACGCTTTTCAAAAGATTGGTGGTTTTGGCTCCCGTATCTTAGTACTCTAAGTCGAGAGCATCTTGTGGATCGCCCTTTGCATAGGTTTGGGATTATCCGTTCTATTTTTAGCTACCGCATTAAAATTTTTTTTTACTAAAATGTTGTTTAACTCTAGATTCAGATCTCTTATGTTGTTTGATGTAGTACTATTATTCATTGTCGGGAAATGGTCATCGTAGTTGTTGTTTAACAGATTGAATGGATTGGTAGAGAATTTTTTTTAGATTCTCTAAAAGAGATATTTTGGATGATTAAGATTTTTTAATGTTTTCCTCCTTCGTCCTTTTTGGACACTTTCTATAAATTACACTATGGTCCAAAGACCCACAACCTAAGCTTTTCATTAGTTTGCAAGAGTTAATGAGGCAAACCGGTGACTTATCGCAATTCAAGCATCTGCCTTCCCTGATTTTGCATAATTATGCAATGTGGCCAAAGCGGCCGCAATTGAAACACGGTTTAATAGCAGGGATAAAGTAGTTCTCTAGGACAATACATTAATTGAATTTAATAGCAGGTTTAATAGCAGGGATAAAGTAGTTCTCTAGGACAATACATTAATTGAATTTAA